CTGCATAGCTATGTGAACTCTAAGCAAAAAGAACACAGCGGGAGACATCACACTACCGGACTTCAAACTGTACTACAAGGCTACAGTAATCAAAACAGCATGGTACTGGTACCAAAACAGAGATATAGACCAATGGAACAGAACAGAGGCATCGGACGCAACACAACATATCTACAACCATACAATCTTTGATAAACCTGACAAAAACAAGCAATGGGGAAAGGAGTCCCTGTTTAATAAATGGTGTTGGGAAAACTGGCTAGCCATGTGCAGAAAGCAGAAACTGGTCCCCTTCCTGACACCTTACACTAAAATTAACTCCAGATGGATTAAAGACTTAAACATAAGACCTAACACCATAAAAACCCTAGAAGAAAATCTACGCAAAACCATTCAGGACATAGGAGTAGGCAAGGACTTCATGACCAAAACACCAAAAGCATTGGCAGCAAAAGCCAAAATAGACAAATGGGACCTAATCAAACTCCACAGCATCTGCACATCAAAAGAAACAGTCACTAGAGTGAATCGGCAACCAACAGAATGGGAAAAAATTTTTGCAGTTTACCCATCTGACAAAGGGCTGATATCCAGAATTTACAAATAACTCAGATTTACAAGAAAAAAACAAACAAGCCCATTCAAAAATGGGCAAAGGATATGAACAGACACTTTACAAAAGAAGACATACATGAGGCCAACAAACATATGACAAAATGTTCATCATCGCTGGTCATCAGAGAAATGCAAATCAAAACTACATTGAGATACCATCTCATGCCAGTTAGAATGGTGATCATTAACAAATCTGGAGACAACAGATGCTGGAGGGGATGTGGAGAAATAGGAACACTTTTCCACTGCTGGTGGGAGTGTAAATTAGTTCAACCATTGTGGAAGACAGTGTGGTAATTCCTCAAGGACCTAGAAATAGAAATTCCATTTGACCCAGCAATCCTATTATATAGGTTGGGGCAAATGGTTAAAGGTGGTAATCTATCTTAGGGAGGGGAAGGGCATCACGGGATGCATGATCAGGGTCATCTATTACAAACAGGCAGGATCATAAGGGTGGGGGTTATCGGTTGCAAGTAGAGGTGAGGGTGCAGTAAATTACATAGTTACAGGGGAGGGGTTCTTGAGAAACACAGTGTCCAGGGGGGTTTTCCCAAGGCTGAGCAGGAACAATGGTTGAAGGTTGCAGGGGAAGAGCAATTAGTTGATGCAGGAACAAGTTGTTTCACTTCTCTTTGTGGCCATCTGGTTACTCCAGACTTTATGGCTCCTGGGGACCATCCAGAGGTGTACATGTGGGTCACCAAGGCTATAATGGCCAGGCTTGGCCTGACAGGGGGTTCCCTTTGTTAAGTGATTTGCCCTGTGTTTCATGTTGACCTTGGATAATCTGATGACTGTGTCTTAGGGATGATCATCTTATGTAGTATCTTACAGGGGTTCTCTGAATTTTCAGATTTTGAATGTTGACCTCTCTAGCAAGGTTGGAGAAATTTTCATGGACAGTATCTTTAAATATGTTTTTCAAGTTGTTTGCTCTCTCTCCCTTTCTTTCAGGGACTCCAGTGAGTCTGTTTATATAATCCCACAGTTGGTCATTTTACATAATCCCACATTTTTAGAGGTTTTAAATTTTTAAAAATTATTTTCCCTTTATTTTTGTTTGATTGGCTTAATTGTAAGAACCAGTCTTCAAGCTCTGAGATTCTTCTCCTAGCTTGGTTTATTCTACTGTTAATACTTCTGATTCTGTTATAAAATTCTTGTAGTGAATTTTTCAGCTCTATCAGATCAATTTGTTTCTTTCTTAAAATGACTATTTTGCTTTTCATCTCTTGAGATAGTCTTACCGGATTACTTAGATTCCTTGGATTAGATTTAAACCATCTTCTCAGTCTCAGTGATCCTCATTGCCATCCAGATTTTGAATTCTTTGTCATTTCAGCCATTTGATTCTGGTTAAGAACCATTGCTGGGGAGCTAGTGTGGTTGTTTGGAGATAAAAAGACCCTCTGGGTTATAGAGTTGCCAGAGTTCTTGCACTGGTTCTTTCTTACCTGTTTTGGCGGCTATTTCTTTTAACTGTGGTATATTTTTAGTATAGTCAATTGATTTCTGAATGTTTTCAGAGCACGGAGGCTTTGTGTAGGGGCTTTATTCGTAGCTGAATTCTTGCTCTTGTTTTCATAGGGAAGTATGTTAACAAAGTATTTTTATTGTTGTAGTTTTGAGTACAAACAAATAGAGGACACTTATGCATAATGGCTAGTAAATAGGCTCTTACTGAGGCCTGTGTCTCCTCTGCATTTCCTTGTGTTTGCAACGATGCTCCTTCTCAGTGCTCTGAGAGTGTGGGCACCTCTTTCACTTCAATGCCAGCCACAGGTCTTGGCTTGGCGTTCCCAGGTGCACTGCAGTCCTGGGGAAAACTCTGGCTTTTTGTTCTTTCCCCAGTTTGGGGCAGCAGGACTTGGCAGGGCCAATAGCATAGGCCCTGTCACTTGTCTTTTGGAGCTCCACTTTAAAGGCAGAGCACTGCCAGTCAGAACAATCAGCCAATGGTGAGGCGGCTGTATGAGGGGGCCCAAGCCAGGAAGCCCTGCCTGGTGAAGAGCCGGAGGAGTGGGGGCTCACTGGGAAGACAGTCTGGTCTTTTCTCTGTAGGTCAGCCATGGTGTGCCAGAGGCTCAAGTAAAGAACTCAGGCTCTTTTTTCTTCCCCAGCTTGTCGATAGCAAGGGTGAGTACTGCTGCAGTAGCAATGGCAGAGGGGCTGATTCCCAGTTACCTCTGGGAATTCCACCCCAGAGAAACACAGAGCTGCCACAGACTGAAGAGATCAGGCAGAAGTAAGGTGGCTGCTCTGAGGGTTGAGGCCAGGAGGCTCTGCCCAGTGAGGAATAGCAGGAGCTAGGACCTGCATGAAAAATAGTCTGGCTGGTTTTTTTTGTATGGCAGGTGTGGCATGCTGAAGACCTAAAATAGTCCTTGAGCTCTATATTGTCTCTTTAGCCTCAGAGCATGGGGACTGGGGAGACTGTGGCAGTGGCAAAAGCTGTGAGCCTGTTGTGTTATCTCTGGAAGCTCTACCCCAGAGAAATGCAGAGCTGCAGCCAGTGGAAGTGCTCAGGTTGGGGATAGGGGGATGGTTATGCTGGGGACGTAGGCTGGTGGGCTTTGCCTGGTAAGGTGTCCCAGAGGGGAAGCCTGCAGTCTGCCTACTCCTCAATATCCTAGATGGGGCCCTTATTTCGGGGGCACATGGAAGATCCCTGGTTCCCTGGTTGGCAGAGCTATGGCAGATGGTCCCAGGGTGCTCAGGAATACAAAGCCCTTGGAGCTCCACATGGACCTGAACAGCGGCTCTGCTGAGACTCCATGAAGCTTTCTGTGTCATTCTGGGGGCCCCACGAAGTAGGGTTGGGCAGCATCTCTTGTGCCTAGGTTTGCAAATGTTCATGGCATAGGTGTGTGTCCCCAGGGGCCCTCACACACTCACTTTTTTCTTTCCCATGGTAGGGAGGCTTCCTTGGCTCTGTGCCAATCCCAGGCAGGCAGTTGTCCTGCCTCACTCCTCTCATTGTTGATGAATCCCAGTGTGGCCTCCTGGATGATCCAATTGAAGAGCCACTTGCCACTTATAAGTTTATAAGTTTACTTGCCACTCCGTCTCCTCTCCTGTGAAAGCAGTGCACACTGGCTGCTTCTGGTCACCCATCTTGGTATTAAAATCTAGATTGTATTATGGTTCCAAAATTATTTTAGAATTGCTTAGCACATACTTCTAGAAAAACAAACCTACTGAAAATATTTTGTGATGTGCGTACAGTCTCTTCTTCATGCACTTGCCTATGTATTAGGGCATGTGTTAAATATTGTACTGATGATTTACCTGTATGAGTTCTTTTTTCCCTTTTATGGGTTCACTAAGTTTGCTTTTAGTTTTAGTTTCTTCTTATCCTTTGTGATTTTATTTTTATTGAAAAATATGGAACCTGAAACTGATTCTAAAAGTAAAAAATATACTAGGTATACTTAGAGAAGTTCCATTCCTTCCCTTTCCATCTTGGAGGTAATCAACGGTATTGTATTCTTATATCTCACCTGTTTCATTTTGTAAAGCTAAGTATCTTTCTAATTTCCTTTCTTTTTTTTCTTATTTATCCTTCTTCCTTATTTAAAGGTGGCATACACATTTTCCCTTTTTCAGATTTTTTTTTGTTTTTACTTAGCATTATCTCCTGGAAATACTTCCAGGTCAGTTTACAGAGATTTTTTTTCAATTGCTTTTACAGCTCTATGTATAGCTGTTTGTACCATATTATTAACCATAATTTTCATTATACTAGAGTTTATAGCAAGCTTGTCCAACCTACCTTATTTTTGTTGTTGTTATGGTTCTGCTTTGTTTCGTTTTAGGCTTTTAGCAACCTAAAGCCATGGTTTTTAGTTTCTGTCTCTAGTGATAAGTGGAAAAGAGGAATGATGAAGGGCCTTTACTGGCCCAACCAGAAACAGGAACTAAGAATCCATGACTGTATTCTCCCCTTGGACACCCCTAGAACTTTATAGTATATACATTGGCTTATTCAACCAATATCCAATGCTTGAACATTTATGTGGTTTTGAGTATTTTGTAATTACAAATAATGCCATAATGATAAACTTGTATATGTGCATTTTTATTGTTTTGTTTATGACATCTGAATGATCTATACAGTCTAAATACCCTAAGATAAATATAGTTTAATTATATATGATTCCTAGAAATGTTTATAAAATGACAAAGCATCAACATACAGCCATTAAAATTCTTTTCAGCATTTTCTCATCAAATCTATCATTGTTATAATTTAGTTATAATTTTGTAGAAGTGAAGAGAATGCTCATGTAAATGTTTTATAAATTTGAAATATAGAAATTTCACAATAGATCCATTTTTTAATTTAGTGGAGTAAATGTATTAACTGTATATTCTTTATGTAGCTCATAATGAAGTAACAAATGAAGGGCTTGTATTTGAGCATCAAGAATCAATGTCAAAAACTAAATTGCAAGTAAAGCAACAAGAAAATTCTGAAGAGCAACAACTCACCAGTAAGTATAAGAATTACACATAACTTTAAATTATTTTAAATAAGTCACAGCAAAGATATTTTTCTTCAGTTTATGAATCTGTTTTTTATTATATATTTTATAGAAATTTTACCTTGAATCTAAACTGTGAATACCATAAGATAACTAGTGAAAAAGAGCTAGAGTATTCATTACTTTTGGTTAGTTTTTCTGCTTATAACAGATAGCCATGGTCATGTGCTCAGTATTCACCAAGGACAATAAGAGGCCAGTAATTGTCTTTCAAAAAGTGTGTACCTTTTATCCAACTCTAGACAGGTCCAAAAGCCCAATTTATTCCACTGACCTGTTCGGTAAACTTCTTCAATCAGTGAACAGAAAGTTTGCTGAGACTTGTAACTCAAATGTAGATCAAAGGGGCCAATTTATTCATAACTTTACAAAAATGAGAGAAAAATGTCACTGCATATTGTAAATTTTAAATCTATGGCTTTCATATAGATTTATTTTTAATTTAGTGAACTAAACACATCTCTTTCTGTAGCTCATGATAAAGAACCAGATGAAAATCTTTTACTCAGGCATCAAGACTCTGTGTCAAAATCAGAAATGCAAGTGAAGGAACAAAGAACTCTCAAAGGGCAAAGAATTACTAGTAAGTATAAAGAGTAAAGTTAACTTTAAATTATTTAAAAGTAAGTTCATCAGAAGGTATTTTTGCTTTGGTTCACAAATTTTTACACTTTGACTAAAATGTGAATTTATTCTCTTAAATTATTAGAGAAGAAAGGGAAAGATACTGATATGGTTTGGTTGATATTTCTGGCCCTAAGATTATTTCCTGACCGCAGGACACACAGTACCCCCTAAGGCTTTATAACAAATGTATACTTGTCTTTTCAATGTTAAGTGTCGTTCAGCCAACTCAAAAGTAATTATGGGCCCAACAACTTAATGGGCACCTCTGACCTGTGACCTTCTGCCATAGGCACCAATCAGCAAAGATAGTCCTAAGATCTGTAACTCAGAACAGCAAATGGGGATCATAAGAACCTAGGGGAAGATAACCTAGGATACCTATTTAAGGGCCTCTAGGGCATCCTTTTGGTCATGGCTCCACTGAAATGAAACAGACTTTCTGGTAACCCCATAGATGAATTAATGTCATCAACGATCTCATGGAGGGAAAATGAGAATGTATTTATCCAAACAATTTCATTAACTGCTGGACTTTTTTTTTTTTTTTTTTGAGACAGGGTCTCACTGTCTTGTCCAGACTGAAGTGCTCTGTCTCCCATGCTCAAGCCTCAGCCTCCTAAGTAGCTGAGATTGCAGGCATGTGACACTACACTTGGCTAATTTTTGTATTTTTAGTAGAGATGGGGTTTCAACATGTTGGTCATGCTGATCTCAAACTCCTGACCTCAAATAATCCATCCCAAAGTGCTGGGATTGCATGCGCGAGCCATTGTCCCCACCCTGGGCTTGTTTTTGTTAGACTAGAAAGGGTCAAAGCGTGGTGGTCTCTTCTGGAATGAGATGTCTCCCCTTAGAAATCAATCACAAACATTTTCATCTGGATACTAGGTAACTGTATCTTGTCTGAACTAATTGCCCTGCTAAGAGGCACTGGTGGGTCATTAGAGCATCGAGTCCTTTTGGGTGATGTCGTTGCTTGAGTCCACTTAAACGATATAATCAATATAATGAAAGGCTAGTCCTCCCCTTGGGACCAGTTTATTTAGAGGTCATTATGCATTGATGACAGTTTTAGAGCAGTTTGGTAGCCTTGTGGAAGGATATCAGTTATGTTTTCAAACTTATTCTATATAAAATTAAACTGAACATCTAAGTGAAAAAAAGATGTGGAAAGGCATTTGAGATGTCAGTTGTTGCAAACCAAGTTCCCTCAGTTTGGAAAATACCCTGAATGACAACTATAGACTCATGTGTCTTTGGTGCCCAGAGCTGTAATATGGCATTGGACTAGCAAAATCAATTGAGTCATTATGCACCTGAGGCCATGTACAAGATCTACTTAGTTATTGAATGGAGAAAGAGTCTCATGGAGAACTTTTGCTTCATTAAGCTCAACAAACAACAACAGCCATTTCTTTTTTATCCTAGGAAGCTATTTTGGAAAACAAAGGTGCTAGGTGCTATTAATCTGGATATTTACACTCTTCCACATGCCCCACTAAAATGACCTTAAATGCCGAAGTTCCCATCAGGGATTGGGATGAATGCAAGTGGGGATTCACATAGAAAATACATTTATACCAACAATACATTTGGTGGGGGAGGGGAATAAAATAGAGTTTTGTAGTTGTCCGAAAGGATATTCTCATGGTAGTGTTTGACCAAGGGTCCTATTGGTGGTGATCTCAGATGCAAATCCAGAGAGCATTACTTCTTTTCCCCAGAAGTTGTGGGGATCACAGCCACCTGTGCACCAGTATCTGAATGGCCCTAGAAATGCAGTTTCCTCCCACCTTCCCTTTAAATTCTAACCTTACCATACATTCTCAGATTGCCGCTGGTGATATAGGGATCTTGGCTTAACTCTTAATTTTTATTTTTGAAAGCACGAAGTTTGAGCAGAAGTAGTGGAGGGTTCTCTGACTTATTTCAATATCACTGGGAGGTGCAGAGGGAAGAGTACTTTTATTATTCATGGGGGTCATCACAGTCTGGATTTAGTGGGGCTGTGTTTTGGGACCCATGGCCCACTACCTGGCCAGGAAATCCTTGGTGAAAAGTCCATCAGTATCCTACTTCAGACTCCATCGTTGATTAACTAGACTCAGATATTTCTTGGGGAGAGCCCTTAACTAGATCATCCAGGAATAGGTGACAAATTACCATTTTTAGGTCATCCTGCTCACCGGTCACACATTGCTATCTTGGTGGTAGATGTTTTTTCTGTGCCCAGAAATTTGTCAGTTAAGATCTGGATTGTGCCACAAATTAATCAACATTACCTTATAAGGAAGTTTAATTTGAGCTAGGTAACTAGTGGAGGTGGCTATGAAATGAAACTAGAGATCTGAGTCTGGCCGAATCTTGTCATTACTGTCCTCACTCCATTAGTGACCTTAGAGACAGCAGAGTGGCTCAAGGGGCCATTATAGCCTTTGTAGTTGATGGCTCAAACATGTTTTTCAGTAGCAGGGAGCTCAGCATGGGTGGCAATCCTGTGAGAGCCAAAAATTATGCCCAACTGAGGAGGGAGAGGGTTTCAGATGTTTACATCATTGGTCCCCCTTCCTCCACTTCCTTAGGCAATATGGGCCCTGTCAAGGCTCTCTGAAGGAGGCATTCTGTAGTGATAAGCCCCACAATATGCCCCTCTCACTCGCCAAGTTAAACAAGATTATCCCCTTTATTGTGAAGGCACACACTACCCACATCCCTTAGTTGCTGGGCAAAATGATCACCAGGACACTACATTGTTTTCATGAAAGCATGAGTCTCAATAACTGACTGCATTGCAGGCTGTCCACCAGTTTTACGGGAATGTCTATGGCTAAGAATAGTTACTAGGTACAACTCGGTGTGCAGTCTCTCCAACTTTTTTGAGCTTATTAACTTAGGACCATGAGCAATAACCACAAAATTGCTTCCCTAGCTTTCTCAGAGTCCATCTGCTGGATGTTTTCATTTGACTCATTGGAAATCTTGGTATGTGAATCAGAGGATAAGAAGACTATTGTTTCCTGTCAGAATTGAAAAGCTCCTCTAAACAATACATTAGCATTCTAGAAAACCCCATGGTGTCTGCTGGCACATTCTAAAACATGGTTGATTGACATGACTGGCAGAGTGCCCTGTGGGATGCTGAGTCCCTTGCAAATGATCTAGTACCAACCCCATACCCCTTCCACTGAGGGCGTCCTACAGGCTCACTAGCACCTACCAAAGTGTTCCTTCCAGAAAGGCTTTGTGCTTCATTGGCCACCCTGCTCTTCGTGATAGTTTATCAGAAAGAGAGATGCCAGTTTTTGAGTCAGTCTATTAAGATAACACGCCAAACTCAAAGTAACAATAACTTCATGCACTTACTGGCATATTAAGCCATAGCCTAGACAGAGGCAGGTCCCCAGATACACCAGTGTCCCATTTTACCCCATAGAACAGCAAGCACTTAGCAAGGGTCAGATGCATCAGTGTAGACTGTGTGAGTGGTCATGGGTTGGGGTTGCCTCATAGTGGAGGGAGCTGCAAACAAGATGCTATTTTCCTCATCCTGAGGCTGAGTTAGCTGGAGCTCTGAATCACATGAATACTTTTATTTATTTGCCCCCTGTTCTAATTCCTCTCAAATTGAGTTAGAATTGGTTAACACATATTAGAACAACAAACCAACTAAAAAGATTTCATGATTTGTTTTCACTCCACCTCCACCTCTCATGTCCAATAGTGAGGGTTTATGTCAAATACTATATTGATGAGTTATTGCTTTTATTTTTTCTTCAATAATTTTATTATTTCCTTTTAGTTTTCATCCCCACCTTCTTTTTCTTGTTGACTTACTTTTATTTTTGAAATCTGTAAAAGTTGAATCTTTTATTTTTAAAATCTGAAGTAGGACATGGACCTATTTTCAAAAGTAAAAAAAAAATGCAAAAATTATACTTAGAGGAGTCTATTTTTCCCCAGTCCTCTCCCCTCATTTTGTAGGTAACCAACAACATTGTTTCTGATATCTTTCCTCTGCTTCTTTTTGTAAAGATAGCTATCTTTCTATTTCCTTCTCTATTTTTTTCTCATTTCTTTGTCTTCCTTTCCCAAAGATGGCATTCAAGGTTTCCCCTTTGTAGATATTTTTTTCCTTCACATTATTCTTTGAAATCCCTTCAAGTCAATTTATAGACATGTTTAATTTGTTTTACAGTTACACTTACAGTTGTTCACACCACATTATTTACCATATATACTACCATAGTGTGTAGTACAACACATCCTTGAATAACATCATTTTATTCAACGTTGTTTGATTATAATGTTAATGAGAAAAAAAAATGGATGCCTATCCAAGCACACAGTCTGGAGTTGACACATTCTCCCTGTGTCTGCCTGAATTCTTTCCGGGTGCTCCAATTTTCTCCCACATTCCAAAGATATGTATGTTAGATAAATTGGTGTGTCTAAATGGTCCCTGTCTGAGTGAGTGTGGGTATGTGTCTAAGTGGGCCCTGAGTGAGTGAGGGTATATGTCTGAGTGCACCCATTCTGTTGAGGGCTCGTTCCCACCTTGTGCTCTGAGCTGCTAGGATAGCTTCCAACCACCTGCAAACCTTCACTGGAAAAAGTTGGTTGGAAAACGAATGAATGAGTGAATACAAATTATTGTAAAATAAATATTCACAAAGTAGACAATAATTATGCAAATGCATGATAATGCAGTACAAAAGCACTCTGTAAGCCACATTTTGTGATTGTTTTTAAATTGCATGATGGGAAGAGGTGTTCCTTATAATTTTGCTTTGCTTTTGATTTATTCTTTTGAATAAATCAAGGAATTTGTTCCTTGACTTAACTCACCACCACTATGACAACCATCACTCACTGATTAATCACAAATTTGGTAAATAATTACCTTACTTGTTTTTATTATTTTTTCTTAATTCTATGTATAACTCACATTTGTTTTAGTGTTTAATATTAGAAGTGTTTTGGGTCTTTATTTAGAAGTTTGTGATGTTTATGTTACAAAAAATAGGAACTTAACTCTTGTTTATGTCAATTAGCCTATGGTAAAATGGGTTTCATTATATGTCATTTTGCTTAAGGTCATAGTTTCCAAGATTTTATCAATGTCATTAAGTGAGGACTTACTGTATTTTATTTATTATGTAGTTTTAATATTTTGCAATTACATATGTGATATAATGACATTTCACATGTGTATTTTAATTTTTATTTCTGTAAATATGTATTAACCTAAAGTATAAATAACCTAAGGAAACTAATGACTAATATATATTAGATGCCTAGAAATGTTATGAAATAATGAGCTTCAACATGCAGCCATTAAAAATGTTCTTATAGTATTCATGTCACATCTGGATTTATGGTAATTTACTTACAAATTTGTCGAAATGAGAAAATTTTGCTACACAATGATAAGTTTGACATCTAGAGATTTAACAGTAGGTCTGTTTTTCCATTAAGAGACTAAATGCATCTCCTTATGTAGCTCATGATGAAGAACCAGGCAAAAATCTTGTGCTTGAGCATCAAGAGTCAGTGTCAAAACTTGAAATGCAAATAAAAAAAACAAAAAAACTTCCTAGAGAGAAAAGACATAGTAGTAAGTATAATATTTATAGGTAACTTTAAATTTAAAAAATTAATCTCATTAGATCTTTTTTCTTTGGTTCATGAGTATGTAGTTGAGCATATAGTTTATAGAAGTTTAAAGTGTGAATACCTTAAAATAACTAGGGAACAAAAGCCATATAATATTTGGCTGGAATTTCCGGTCTTGAGACTATTTTATGGCATGCTTATGTGCTCAGTGTCCACCAGGACCCAATAAAATTATTAATCTGTCAAAGGGTATTTATTTTCACCCAACTGTAGGAGATTATGGGTCCAACTGTTCAACAGGAACCTTGGGATATATGGCAGTATCCTTCTGTTATCTGCTGAGATGTGTAACTCAAATGGCAAGATGTATCAGAGAAGGCAAGGGGAAAAACAACCTATGTGGTCATTGGAGGGTCTCCAGAGCATCCTATCTTTAGGCAGCACCTAAGGGTAGAAGTCTTCTTGGTAACCTGATAGATGGTTTCATGAAGATACCCATGAATGGAATGTGAGAGCACCACTCTAGGCTTTCCTTTTATTTGTTGGGGCTGAGAGTGACTAAAGCTTGGCAATTGTCTCCTCTGGAGTGAAACATACTGTCTCTTCCCAGTTTATTTACAGGAATTTCACATGGGTCATAGGTCCTTATACCTTGTCTGTATTAATGGCTCAGCCATGTTACCACCTGTAGGTCAGCATAGTGTCTAGTGTTTTGTCTGGGCCTGGTGGAGGATGTGATGAATATAGTGGAAGGCTAGTACTTCATCTGGGAGTGGAAGGACGGAAGCCTTGAAGAAGGATATTAAAGGTATAATGCAGCCCATTTAATGCAAGACAGACTGATCTTGATCATCTTTGTGGACAAGAATGCCAAAAAGGGCATTTACAATGTCAGTTGCTTTATAACTATTTCCCTCAGCTTGGGTAGTAGCCTCTATGATAGTCATAATGCCAAGTAACACCAGTGCCAAAGACAGAACTATGGGATTGAGCCACCAATAGTCAATTAAGTTTCCAGGTACACAATGCCTTAAGCAAAGACCAGATGGTGAACTTTGGCTTCCTTAAGCACAGAAATAAAGACTTTTTTAATCCCCAAGACAGTTGATAGTGTTTTTAAGAGACAAAGACACTAGGTTACAGTAGTCTGGCAGGTTTAGTCTTCCATATTCCGCACTGAAATGGTCCTAATTGCAACAATTCCCCTCAGGGATTGGGCGTAAATACAGTCAGGGGTAGACATAGACAGTACCTTATAACAATAACCCATTCAGTAATGGGTGCCATAATAATGGAAGTGTATAGTGGCTTGAAGAGAACTACCTGTAGTCAGATCAGGATTTTGGTGGTGGTGGCTTCTAACTGAAAATCAGAGAACATTATCTATTTTCTCCTAATTCTCATGCCAGGGATTTTGGGGATCACAGTCACCTGTGCACTATTATGCAAAAGGCCCAAGAAATGAAATTTTCCATGTTCACTTTGAACTTTAACTTTGATATAGGGCCTCCATTCCTCACAAGGGACATAGGGACATTGGCCATGTCATAGTCTTGTTTTTTTTTTTTTTTTGCCAAAAGGTTTGAGTAGAAACTGGCAGGGCACTCTAATTCATTTCAAAATTCACTGGAAGAAGAGAACAGCATTTGTATTATTCATAGGGGCCAGCACTGGGCAGATCCTAGGAGGCTGCCATTGAGCCCATGATGGCACACTATCACCAGGCCATGAGTTCCCTGATGAAGAGCCCATTAATCTCCTTTTGTGAGTCCTTATTGTTGGGTAACCAAACCCAGAGATCTCTTTGGTGAGGCCCTTACCCAGATCATTGAGGAGTGTGTGCCCAGTGACTATTTTTATGTTGCTGTCTCTCATGGAGTCTCTGCTTTTCTGTAGCAGTTGCTTTTTCCATGCTGAGGAATTTTTCATGTTTAGACTGTTGCTTGCACTATCACAGTAAGTGAATAATATTGTGATCTAGATCAGTGGTCCTCAACATTTTTGGCACCAGAGAAAGTGAACAAAATTTGAACAAAAATTGTTTCATGGAAGACAGTTTTTCTATGGACCAGGGCCAAGGTGGGGGATGGTTTTGGGATGATTCAAGTGCATTACATTTATTTTACATATTTGTATTATTATTTATGTTTATATTATTACTTTGTAATATGTAATGTAATAATTATACAACTCACTATAATGTAGAATCAGTGGGAGCCCTGAGTTTGTTTTCCTGCAACTAGACAGTCCCATGTTAGGCTGATGGAAGACCATGACAGATCATCAGGCATTAATTCTCATAAAGAACACACAACTTAGATCTTTCACATGTGCAGTTCACAACAGGGTTTGCGTTCCTATGAAAATCTAATGCCGCTGCTGATCTGACAGGAGGCGAAGCTCAGGAAGTAATTAATGCAAGTGATGGGGAGCAGCTGAAAATACAGAGGAATCTTCACTCACCCAGTGCTCACCTACTGCTGTGTGACCCCTTTCCTAACAGACTAAAGACCAGTACTGGTCTAAAGTCCCCCTTGGGGTTGGGGACACCGATCTAGATTATTTCGCTGACCAATTTGACTAACCTTAGAGGAGGTTTAATTTTAATTTGGCTCCATAACCAGTAGGAGTGACACTAATAAATCTGAGTCTTGTTAAAAATCTTATCATTGACTGTTCTCACTCTCATCATTGATTGCTCTCACTCTCAAGCAAGAGACCAAGAGATTATCAATATGGTTTGCAGGGCTGTATAGCCTCTGCAACCATGGTCTAAAAATGTATTTTAGTCATAGGGAAGATAGCATGGGTGTGCCGAAGTTGTCAGAACCCAAATCGAATCCAGTTGAAAAAGAAGGGCTTGGGTGTTCCATTCTCATTCTCCCACTTTGCTTATCCTCCTTGAGCAAAACCTCTACTGTCATGACACTCTAAAGAATGGGTTCTAGAGTGACACAACCTACAAGGTACCACTAAGTTAGTTTAACAAGATTTTTTTTTTCATCATTCAGGCAAACAACCCATGCCCCTAAGGTCTTCTAGGTCACAAAGGAAAGCAATCCCAAAGGGCTCTCCATTCTTTCTATTTAAACCATGAGTCTCAATCCCTTGCTGGGTCATAGGCTGTCTGTCATTGCCTGATACCTCTCTGGAACTAACAGCAGTTATTGGTGCAAATTAGCTCACAGGTTCTCTGAAAACTTTCAGTCTCATCTCCAGGGGACAATAGCAGTGGCCAAGGAAATGCTTCTCTAGCTTTCTCAAAGGTGCTCTGTTGGATCTCTAATTTGACTTACCATGCATCTTGGCCTGAAAGTCTAGGGCTAAAGAGAAGGACCATTGGTGTCCCTTAGAACCCAAAAGCTATGTAAACAATCTGCTAGCACTCTCTGAGAGTGCCCCATGATGTTAGACAGAATTTTCTAAGACCCACTGATAGGGCTGGCAGAATGCACCATGGGACAGACTCTTGCAAATGATCCACTAGTATCCTCCTGGGGATCTGCATGCTTTTTGCTTTTCCAGAAAGGCATTGTGTTTAATTGCCCACCCTGCTCACAACCATTTGTCACCAAGAGAGCTGCCAAGTGTGAAGGTGATCAATTAAGAGAGCAAGCCAAGTTGAAAGTAACAAGCCTTCATTCACTTACTGCAACAACATAAACAAGAGTGTAAACATGAAAGGTCACTGACTTTATCAATGTTTCATTTTCCCACAAAATGACATTGGGCAAGGATAGGATGTATCGGCACAGATGGGAGGGGAACTTCTTACTGTATGCACAGCCATGTGTACCGTTATCATTTACCATATATATTCATGCACACATAGATACACATAACTATATACCACCATTGATATTGTATCATTGTTTGTAGTATACATTTACATGTATATATACATATGTGTGTGTATATATCTGTTAATTCAATCAGTCTCCTATGCTTGAAAATATCAATGGATTTGGATAGTTTGCAATTACAAATAACACTGTAATGAATGACCTTGAGCATATGCATTTTCATTGTTTGGTCTATGATTATGTATTAACCTAAGATATAGATAAGGAAAGTAGAAATTAATATAAAACACATTTACTACCTAGGAATATTTATGAAATAATAATACATCTTCAACACACATTGAAACTTTCCTTACCATTTTCATGTCAGATCTAGCATTAAGGTAGTTTACTTATAACTTTATAAGATGAGAGAAAATGTTGCTTCCACTTGCTATAAATTTGAAATCTAAGATTTCATAGTAAACTTATTTGTCTGGTAAGGGACTAAATTTCTGTCTTAACATAGCTCATGATGAAGAATCTGGTGAAAATCCTATGCTTAAAAATCAAGATTCAGTGTCAAAAATCCAGGTGCAATTGGAGAAAGAAGAAACTTCTGGAGAAGGACATAGCAGTAAGTATAATGATGATATCTATTTCATATTATTTTAAATTAATCTCAAAAGAACTTTTTTCTTTGGTTCATACTTATGTATTAAAGTACATATTTTATAGAAAACTTATATTCTAAAGCATTAAGTACATATATTTTATAGACTTATACTCTAAACTAACATAACTCAAGAACAAAAACAAAGATATTGATATGTTTTGGTCAGAATTTCTTGTCATAATATTATTATGCAACTTAGTGTATGCTCTCAGCATCCATCTCAGGACAATAACAGGCCAATAATTGTCTCATGAAAGATGGGTGCCTTTCAGCTGACTCTGGCCATCTATGGGCACCTCTGAGCTGTGGTAGCTCCAATCAGCAAGCAGAGGTATTGCCGAGACCTGTAACTGAAGCAACAAACGGAATCAGATAGGTTCTGGAAAAGGGCGGCCAGGGTGGCCAATAGAAGGATTTCCAGGGTATCATGTTGGTCAGAGCCCCACTCAAAGGTAGTAGTCTTTATGGTAACCTGGTAGAGGTTGCTGTCCGATCTCTGTGGCTTGAATGTGAGCTTGGCAGCAAATGAATGGTCCCACTGATTGCTCACATTATTTTTACTTTTGGAGTCAAGGCTGGCCAAAAGCATGACAGCCAACATCTCTGGAATGGAACGCCATAGCCCTTATAAATTACCCTGGAATTTTATTTGGGCTTTAGGTCCTTGTGCCTTGTCCAGTGATGATGGCACAGTACATGCTGCATGTAGGTGAACAGAGCATCTGGTTCCTATTGGATGGTGTCCTTGTCTGCAAGTGACTTTAGGAGGCTGCCTAGGATTATTTAATAAACAGCATGGAAGGCTAATGCTTCTTCCAGGAGTAGAACTTTGTCCAGGTTGTAACCTATGCATTGATTACAGATAGCTGGAGAACTTTGGAAGCCTTCTGGAAAGACAGTAGTGGTGTATTGCAACCTATCCTACATAAGGCTAACTAATTCTGATCATCCTCATGGAGAGGAATGCTGAAAAGATATTTGCTTTGTCAATGTGTACATATCAAGTTCCTTCATCCTGAACAACAGCCTTTGTAACTGTCACAATATCAAGTACCACTGGTGCCAAAGGCAGCACTTATGTTTTTTAGAGCCCCTATCAGTATAGGGTTTCGGCATCTGAGGTCTTTCACATAGGCCAGATGGGTCTATTAAATGTAGGAATAGTGTACAAATAATTAGCCTCTTAAAGCTCAGCAATGAGGGAAATTATTACCTTTTTTATGCCCATAGTGTTAATACTGGTTTTGGTAGACATTGGTACTAGGTGCCAGTAGTTTAGCAGGTCATGATCTTCCACATATCCCACAAAAGTATCTGGACTGCAGCAAATCCCATCAGGAGGTGGGTGTAAATGCTAGTGTTGGTTCCTATAGAAAATATATTTAACCAGTAATATATTCACTAGTAGAGGCCATGACAATATGGGTTTGTAGTGGTCCAAAGGGCACCCATAGTTGGTTTAGAAAGAGGTCCTGTTGGTGGTGACCTAAGATTAAAAACTAGAAAGAATATTTTTCCCTCCTCATCCTCATGTCAGGGATTGTGGGGATGACAGTAATTTGTTAACCAGTAACCAAAAGGCCCAAGAAATGTCACTATTTTTCCACCCCCACTTCGAAGTTTGACCCAGATGATAGGTCAGACTTCTTTCAGGAGTGGAACTTTGTCCAGGTTGTAACCTATGCATTGATTAGCTGGAGAATTTTGGAAGCCGGGTCCTCAGGTCTCCACCAGCGACGTAGAGACCTTGTAGTAGCCCCTAGTCATGTTCATTTATGAGAGATCTGGGTAAAAATAGAAAGGGTCTGTATGTTAGACCCTACAATGTGTCCCTCCAAATTTGATAAGATTGCTTTCTTCATCAAGGACGCAAACTACTCAAGTCTCAAGACTGACTGAGAGAGTTAGAGAAAATAGCACTCATACTATTCATAATGGACATCACCATATGGAACATAGCGCCTGGTGGCTCACTATCTGTTGGAGGGCCCATCAATCATACTCCTTTGAGAACCTGTTATCTGGTCACCAATCTCATAGATCTCCTCTAGAAGCCCATCACATGGATTGAGCAGCAGAGGGTACTTGATTGCCATTTTTATACCACTCTATTGGCCAGTGTTTGCTATCTGGGCAGTAGCCATGTTTTCCGTGCTGAAAATTTACCAGTTAACATCTGGGCTATATCTGATTGATATTATCTTATGAGGAGGTTTGATAACCAGCAGAATTGAAGCAAATGAACCTAGAAATCTGAGTTTGGTCAACAATCTTATTGTCTGTTGTTTTTGTTCTCATTGTGCTACCAAGGGACTACCAGGGTGGCTGGCCAGGATACTGTAAGAAGCCCTTTGTTGGTTCTCTGAGTTGAATCACTATGGGAGCTTGGATAGAAAACTAGGGGCTATATTCCCAGGCAAGATGGCTGAATAGGAATAGCTCCAGTCTGCAGCTCCCAGTGAGACCAATGCAGAAGGCAGGTGATTTCTGCATTTCCAATTGAGGTACCCGGTTCATCTCACTGGGACTGGTTAGACAGTAGGTGCAGCTCACAGAAGGTGAACAGAAGCAGGTGGGGTGTCACCTCACCCAGGAAGCTTAAGGGGTCAGGGAACTCCCTCCCCTAGCTAAAGGAAGCCATGAGGGACTGTGCCATCAGGGACAGTGCTATCTGGCCAAGATACTATGCTTTTCTCATGGTCTTGGCAACCTGCAGACTAGGAGATTCCCTCTGGTGCTGACACCCCCAGGGACCTGTGTTCCAAGCACAAAACTGGGCAGCTGTTTAGGCAGACACCGAGTTAGCTACAGTAGTTTTTGTTTTTTTTTTTTGATCGAGTTTCACTCTTGTCGCCCAGACTGGAGTGCAGTGGTACAATGTTGACTCACTGCAACTTCCACCTTCCAAGTTTAAGTGATTCTCCTGCCTCAGCCTCCTGAGTAGCTGAGATTACAAGTACACACCCCCACACCCAACATATTTTTGTATTTTTAGTAGAGATGGATTTCACCATGTTGGCCAGGCTGGTCTCAAACTCCTGACTTTGTGAATCACCCACCTCAGCCTCCCAAAGTGCTGGGATTACAGACATGAACCACTGTGCCTGGAAAACTACAGGAATTTTTTGTACCCTAGTGGCATATAGAACAGCAGCAAGACAGAACTATTCATTGCCCAGGAAGGGGGCTAAAGCCAGGGAGCCTAGTGATCTTGCTCCATGGATCCCACCCTCATGGAGCTCAACAAGTTAAGATCCACTGGCTTGAAATTCTTGCTGCCAGCACAGCAGCCTGAAGTCAACCTGGGATACTCGAGCTTGGTGTGGAGGAGGGGCATCTATTACTGAGGCTTGAGTAGGCAGTTTTCCCCTCACAGTATAAACAAAGCCACCAGGAAGTTCAAACTGGGTGCAGAACCCACCGCAGCACAGCAAAGCCACTGTAGCCAGGCTGCCTCTCCAGATTCCTCCTCTCTGGACAGGGCATTTCTGAAAGAAAGGCAGCAGCCCCATGAGGGGCTTATAGATAAAATTCCCATCTCCCTGGGACAGACCACCTGGGGGAAGGGGCAGCTGTGGGCACAGCTTCACCAGACTTAAACATTTCTCCCTGCCAGGTCTGGAGAGAACAGCAGATCTTCCAGCACAGTACTTGAGCTCTGCTAAGGGCTTGAGGACCTACTGTCTCCTCAAGTTGGTCCCTGACGCCCATGACTCCTGACAGGGAGACACCTCCTACAGGAGAGCTCCAGTTGGCATCTGGTCGGTGCCCCTCTGGGATGAAGCTTCCAGAGGAAAAAGCAGGCAACAATCTTGGCTGTTCTGCAGCCTCTGCTGGTGATACCCAGGTAAACAAGATCTGGAATGGACCTCCAGCAAATATCAGCAGACCTGCAGAAGAGGAGCTGGTTAGAAGGAAAACAAACAGAAAGCAATAGCATCAACATCACCAAAAAGGATGTCCATGCAAAAAAACCCATCCAAAGGTCACCAATATCAAAGACCAAATGTAGATAAATACACGAAGATAAGGAAAAAAAAGTGCAAAAAGGCTGAAAATTACAAAAACCACAACACCTCTTCTCCTCCAAAGGATTACAACTCCTTGCCAGCAAGGGAACAAAACTGGGTAAAGAATAGATTTGATGAACTGACAGAAGTAGGCTTCAGAAGGTGGGTGATAACAAACTCTTTGGAGCTAAAGGAGCATGTTCTAACCCAAATGCAAGGAAGCTAAAAACCTTGATAAAAGGTTATAGGAACTGCTAACTAGAATAACCTGTGTAGAGAAGAACAAAAATGACCTGATGGAGCTGAAAAACACAGCATGAAAACTTCATGAAGCAGAATCAATCAAGCAGAAGTAAGGATATCAGAGATTGAATAACAACTTAATGAAATAAAGCATGAAGACAATATTAGAGAAAACAAAATGAAAAGGAATGAACAAAGACTCCAAGAAATATGGGACTATGTGAAAAGACCAAACTTAATGATTAATTAAGATAAAATTCCCATCTCCCTGGGACAGACCACCTGGGGGAAGGGGCAGCTGTGGGCACACAGGTAGAATGGAACTGGGCTGGAAAACACTCTTCAGGATATTATCCAGGAAAACTTCCAACTTAGCAAGAGGCACCAACATTCAAATTCAGATGATACAGAGAACACCACAAAGATGCTCCTTGAGAAGAGCAACCCCAAGACACATAATTATCAGATTCACCAAGGTTCAAACAAAGGAAAAAATGTTAAGGGCAGCCAGAGAAAAAGGTCAGGTTACCCACAAAGAGAAGCCCATCAGACTAATATTGGATCTCAGCAGAAACCCTACAGGCTAGAAGAGAGTGGGGGCCAATATTCAACATTCTTAAAGAAAAAAATTTTCAACCCAGAATTTCATATCCAGCCAAAATAAGCTTTATAAACAAAAGAGAAATAAAATCCTTTACAGACAAGGAA